TATAGGAAGTTTCTCTAGTCAGTCAGTAGAAATATACCCGTAGAAGAGTAAAATTACTCGAAATCTCACTATTTTACGAATATTTTCTCCAATCCCATCAGTAAGTGCAAGTGACCAAACAGAGCATCTTGTAAGTGCAACAAGTCGAACTGCTTCTAACAGAGTAGGCTTACAGTGCACCTTCAATCTAAGCAATTGTATATCCCAACCCACCACGTGTACTAGGATTGAGTAACATCAGCCAAAGAATTTACAATATATATATGGTCACTGAATCACAGAATGGCCACGCTGGCGCCGAAGGAATACATCCAAAGGGCGCTACCGGGCCACAAGCCTAACCTTCAATTAACTCCATAATGATTATTGTGAGAGAAACAAATTCCATTAACTTGAACGGAGCTGCGCATGTAAATATATTGAAGAAATTCTCTTATATCTCATTCTTGTGGCCTTTGTGCCTGCATGCGCGGAGATAAATATCATTATTATCATTATATTCGCTGGATTTATATGTATATACGTATATCGAACTTTTATCTATTGCACTCTGTCATACTGAGAAAACGCATAAGTTCACGTTTGGTTCTTTAGCACTGCTGACACTGTGAAACAAATATATTTCTATCTTGGCTCTAAATAACCTCTAATGGCTGATGGTTATTGTTCCTCTAATATTACTTTGCGTTATAGAAGAATAAGGATAGACATAAGCAGACGATTTATTAAATTTTCTTATTTTCCTCATTTGGTGGAATCAACTCTAAAAATGATCACCGTGGAGATCTAACCAGACAAGACGCCGGATCTTACAATAATAGGAGCCTTGGGACCCAACAATCAAGAGAGATGCCCAAGAGATTCTTAAAAGAAACAAACCAAGGATGTTAGAAGAGTTTCGCGTGCTGTGCAAGCTCTTGGGTACAGATCTTAAAATAAAAATGTTCTCTAACATAGTCACTTATTTTACAACAACAAAGATTGTATTAAGATATTTCGTCCTACATAGCGTTCCAGAGTCCAAGAAAGAATTTCAAAAAGTATCAGCAGAAAAACATATTGCCATCAGCTTTTTACAGTCTTGGTGTAGATACATAACAAACAGCGTTTCTTTCAGTCGTCTGTTTTTATTTTACTAATGATATTCTCAGTTTTTCTGCCGAACTGTAGAGATAGAACTATATACGTCACTGAATTTAATTAATTTATTTTATTACGTCGTTAAACAGCATGTGGCATCATGAATTCCGTCTACACCTGTAACACGTAGGTGTTCTGAAATCCAATATTTCAGATTTAAATGAACCATTTCAGAGAGTTTCTGAATTTTTTTGTCCTTCAATTCAAAGGCTGGAAAATAGAGGAAGATTTTAAAAGGAGAAAATTCACAAGGAGTAACAAAATCTCCCAATAAATATTGGCGAAGAAATGCATTGATGGCATATAATTCGAATGTATCCGATTTGCACACCGATATACGTATATTATTGAAAGCGCGTTGTGAAATCTTAGATAATATCGCTTATATCTTGGATTTATAACCTATTTCACTCTTGGAGAAAGCACATTTTGAGGCAGCATTCTGGTTCCAAAATAACTTTACTAGGTGCCGCTCAAACAGAGCAACCTAGCTTATGATATTTACAACAATAAATAATGTGTAAGGGTTATTCCTATATTAAAACAAAGTGTCCTTATGCGAGATATGGCTGTCGGGAATCGAGGGTTTTCCACCCGTCCGGTGAGGCACAAGATCTCTAATATAAGCTATCAACTGTAATTTATCGGAAAGGGATTCGAGCGATCCGCTCTTGAGGTCAGAGGAAAATGCACCTTTTTTATTTTATAGGTCAGTGTCGAATACTGTTGAAATGTACATTTCCAGTGAGAGAAAATATGATATATATCATATATCCACAGAGTAGCAGATTCCAAAACTATCCTAAAAGTACCTTTCTTTGATACATAAGGCCCATTAGCGCGCCATCTATATTAAAGGAAAATGAAACTATTTATTATAAATATATTTTATTTTTCAAATAAAACAACTTCCTACTGTCTTTACTGCGATGGAAATATCCTGGGGGGGCCTGAACCCTCATTGGTGAACTCTCCCAGCGCTTTCAACATTCTTATCTACCTTACCGTTTTAATATTGTATTGGGCTGTTCTGCTTATACACACGGCACTCTAGAGTAATTCTTGGTTTAGGTAGATAAGAAAACTATGGACATGTGTATTTGAAGTCAGTAGAAATATATATATTTTCATCAAGCATTGTTCTTCCACAAAGAATTCACCAAAGAGGCCAGTTAGGCCTAAATGAAATATAATGCATTAGCTCGCCATCCTAATAGCAGATACGAAAGTATTTAGCGTGGTTTTTCCTTTTTCAAATTGTAGAGCTTCCTACTGGCCTTAATGAGAGAAGAAAATAATGAAAGGCTTGGCTCATAAGTGATTAACCTTTCCAGTTGTTTCGCGTTTATCCACCAAATAACTCTAAAAATGGTGTCTTCTTTAACCCAATATCTCATGAGAAGCGGTGAATTAGTGACAGTTATAATCCCGCCTCATACCCTGATAGCTCTTGAATTGCGTAGCTTTAGAATGATAGTTGGGAAACACGATACCTTCCATATATAAATCATCATTTGTTGATTTAACGCGCTTGTATTCCTATTTCTGATAAATATTGTAATGTTTCATCAGCAAATCCTCTCCAACAATAAGATGCTAACCAAGTCGAAACATTTTTACAGTTTGACATGCTTCTTTGCATCTCGGATGAGTTGACTTTTCAAAACAAGTTTCCACAGACTAAAATTGAACTCTTACAATTGTTTCTCGTTTGATGCCAATCACGCGAGCCACTTTCCGCATCAAGATCCTTAAATTTCGACCGAGTCGCAATTTGATGAGCTTGCGGTTCCTTGATGGGTTGGCGGTGCGTTTCCTTCCTCGTCCCGGACAACCACCTTCGTACCGAGTCCACCACGATGCTGCTGTGTTTTATATCCATGTTGGAGGAAATATTGAAAAATCTTTATCCATTCGGAAATTTCTATCAAATTTTAGAAAAAATATCTAAACCTTCCGCAAAGCGTTTATTTTATTAAAATCAAGGCGAGCTTTCGAACAACCTCCTAACTAACTAAAACAATAAATAATAAATCTGTACATGTTATTTTTATATATAGGAATTATTTGCCTAAATTTGGATACGTTAGTAATTATGCCAATGATATGCAGTCGTGACATCTTGGAAATATAATAAAGCAACTTTAAATCACTATTTAATTTAATTGAGTTGAGATAAAATAATAATTTGAGGATGAAATACCTGACTTAAGGCGTGAAGAAGAAAGATAATAAAATATTTTATTACATATTTACAAATATTTGTACCGGCCAAAAAAAAAAAAAAAAGAACAACAAGGAATTTATATTTTGTACAGTCGCATTCTCTGGGGGTCGACTTCACACAGTTGTTCTAGAACAAAATAAAATAAAAAATTAAATACAATTTTTATAATATATATATATGTAGCTATATATATTGTTATATTTGTATATTGTGTGCAAGAGTCTATATACTGCTATATATATGTATTGTGCAGGAACCAATATATTTCTCTACCTATGTATTGTGTAGGAGTCTATACATTGCTATATCTATGTATTGTGTAGGAGTTTATACATTGCTATATCTATGTATTGTACAGGAGTCTATACATTGCTATATCTATGTATTGTACAGGAGTCTATACATTGCTATATCTATGTATTGTACAGGAGTCTATACATTTCTATATCTATGTATTGTACAGGAGTCTATACATTGCTATATCTATGTATTGTACAGGAGTCTATACATTGCTATATCTATGTATTGTACAGGAGTCTATACATTGCTATATCTATGTATTGTACAGGAGTCTATACATTTCTATATCTATGTATTGTGTAGGAGTCTATATAATGCTATATCTATGTATAGTGTAGAGGTCTATACATTGCTATATCTATGCATTGTGTAGGAGTCTATAAATTGCTATATCTATGTATTGTGTAGAGGTCTATACATTGCTATATCTATGCATTGTGTAGGAGTCTATACACATTGCTATATCTATGTATTGTGTAGGAGTCTATATATATTACTATATCTATATATTGTGTAGGAGCCAATTTATTGCAACATATATATTGTAGGAGTATATATAGTGCTATATTATGTATTGTCCACCATTCGTAAATTCTTTAGTTAGCTGAAGAACAAAGATTTGATATATCTTTTAAAAGGCGTGGTTACATAACCTAGTATTTCAAATCAACACGAAGATTATATACATCTTGTTGATCCAGAAATAACGTCAGAGACAGACCCAGTTTGAGGATGGTGTGGGTATAGCAGTTGGGTTTGGTTTCAAGCTCTCGCGGCTTGGATTCGAACTGAAGAAGGGGCGTTTCCACCCGAATACGTTCTTCCCTACCTTTGCTGATATAGCAGACGCCTTAGAAAAGTTAACAACGAATTATATACTTCATAACAATATATGTTATTTATATTTTCCAAAAATAAATACTATATATCCACGTGAATTTAAAATTATAAGAGCTTCTTTTGAATAACATTGTTGCATTTTATTTTTAATTGTCTTAAAAAAAATTCTAAGCATTGTTCCTTTTCTTCAATTCGAAATATTGGATACCCATAATCAAATAAATTTATTATGATCGCATTTATAATTGATACAATTATGAAGGAAAGGATTTAAAAAATTATAAATTTAATAAACAAGTGAATTTCATTAGTTTTTTTTTTTTTCCAAATCCAAAACACGAAAAACTTCAGATACGGAATTAACCACTTGACAGACGGTACTACTAACCATTTTTATATATTCAAACTTAGCCCATTTCAACAATATCTTTAAAAAAAAAAATGAATTCCAGCCTAGTGGGACGACACTATGACACGAACAGGAATACCACGTTCCTCTGTAGTATTGTGGCTAGTATCCCCGCCTGTCATGTGGGCGAATGGGGTTCGATTCCCCGTCGGGGAAGCTTTTTTTGTTTGCCTTTTTTTTATATACTCTCCTACCCCCAAAAGGGGGAGTACTACTTTCTTTAAAATAGATACTACCCGGTGTGATATATTGAACTTCTCACTTTAAAAACTAACAAGAATATAAAAGAACAAATCATGCTTATTCGAAGGAGAAAACAACTACTTTTTTTTTTTTCTTGAAACCGAGAACGTATCGTGATAGAGGGAACTACCATTAGCCCGCCGCAATAACTACCTTTTTACAGTTTTACTTGCTCTTTTCACTTTCCTGAATTTTGCTAACTACTTATATGGGGGAAAATATCTTTTTACACCAAAGAACGGAACTATTTATGTGCCTTGAGAATAAAACTACAATAAATGCGCATCAGTATAATACATACACACAAACTTCTTATGGAGGAAAATCTATTACTTAATTGGAATTTAACTATTCCCTTCTTTGCCAGAAGCAGAGAATTATTTACCGAGAAGAAAGATAAAGCTATAGTACATGTACAAGATATTGGTGAGCAAATAGAGATACCCCGATTGGAATGGAATTATTCCCTTCTTCACCAGAAGCAGAGAATTATTTACCGAGAAGAAAGATAAAGCTATAGTACATGTACAAGATATTGGTGAGCAAATAGAGATACCCCGATTGGAATGGAACTATTCCCTTCTTCACCAGAAACAGAATTATTTACCGAGAAGAAAGATAAAGCTATAGTACATGTACAAGATATTGGTGAGCAAAAAGAGAGACACCGATTGGAATGGAATTATTCCCTTCTTCACCAGAAGCAGAGAATTATTTATCGAGAAGGTAGATAAACCTATAGTACATGTACAAGATATTGGTGAGCAAAAAGAGAGACACCGATTGGAATGGAATTATTCCCTTCTTCACCAGAAGCAGAGAATTATTTACCGAGAAGAAAGATAAAGCTATAGTACATGTACAAGATATTGGTGAGCAAATAGAGAGACCCCGATTGGAATGGAACTCTTCCCTTCTTCACCAGAAGCAGAGAATTATTTACCGAGAAGAAAGATAAAGCTATAGTACATGTACAAGATATTGGGAAGAAATCCTACTCTCTGATTGTAATGGAACTCTTCCCTTCTTCACCAGAAGCAGAGAATTATTTATCGAGAAGGTAGATAAAGCTATAGTACATGTACAAGATATTGGTGAGCAAATAGAGAGACCCCGATTGGAATGGAATTATTCCCTTCTTCACCAGAAGCAGAGAATTATTTACCGAGAAGAGAGATAAAGCTATAGTACATGTACAAGATATTGGTGAGCAAATAGAGAGACCCCGATTGGAATGGAATTATTCCCTTCTTCACCAGAAGCAGAGAATTATTTACCGAGAAGAGAGATAAAGCTATAGTACATGTACAAGATATTGGTGAGCAAATAGAGAGACCCCGATTGGAATGGAATTATTCCCTTCTTCACCAGAAGCAGAGAATTATTTACCGAGAAGAGAGATAAAGCTATAGTACATGTACAAGATATTGGTGAGCAAAAAGAGAGACACCGATTGGAATGGAATTATTCCCTTCTTCACCAGAAGCAGAGAATTATTTACCGAGAAGAGAGATAAATCTATAGTACATGTACAAGATATTGGGAAGAAAAAATTTACTCTCTGATTGTAATGGAACTATTCCCTTCTTTACCAGAAGCAGAGAATTATTTATCGGGATGATAAAGCTACAGTAAATCTACAAGATATTGGGAAGAAAAAAAAAAACCCGGTTGTAATGGAACTATTCCCTTCTTTACCAGAATCAGAAAATTATTTACCGAGAATAAAGATAAAGCTATAGTACATGTACAAGATATTGGTGATAAAATCTACCCATGATTAGAATGTAGCAATTCCTTTCTTCACCAGAGATCTACTTATAGACTTTTGCATGTATTGACAAGATGTCAATAAAATTAAGTTAATTGTCAGATATTCTACATATTTAGCTGACACACAACATCTCACTTCCCGTACGACTAGATCTACTAGCCTACACAAGAAGCAGTAAACTATTTATTTAAAATGAAGGGGGAAACATTCCCTATATTGAAGGACAAGAACTACCTCTGCGCACAACTTCTTATTGGGGATAAATAACTATTTACTGACTCGAGGAGAGAGAAGTTAATTTTAAAATAGCTTTAAAAAGCTTTTATTAAAATGTATTAAAAAAGAGAAAATAATTTTTTACATCTTCCGCCATTGAACAATTCGATCTATAAGTCCAAATCAGCGGGGAGCGATCATCGTATATTGAGTGAAGAGGTAAAATATTTAGTGAAACATAAAACTTGTTAATCAGTTGGTTTATATTGAATCACATTAACTTCAAAATACTCGACGATCGTCTCCCGCTGCTTTTATTTGGAGTCCAATTGTTCAATGACGGAAGCTGAAATATTTATTTTATTCTGTTAATGCATTTCAATAGAAGCTATTTTAAAACTTTTTTTTATTACTTATCAATTTGTATTTTTAGTCGTGAATTCTTTAAAAATATACAAATATATCATTATTTTTGAAAATTTGGTAAATTTTTAAATTTTATTTTTTATATAAACGATTATATATATTTTATACTGAAATATGCTCACAATTATTTATAGCTCTAGTTCATAGTACCGATTTTTTTTTATTGAATCCTGCCGCTCATTACGCAAAACGGTTGCGCCTATTTCCTCCTTTTGATATTTATAAATTCTATTCTATAGTCTATTCCAGACCATCGCGCGGCCTAAGAGTTTTACATTTTGAAGACTTGCATTGTTAGCAGGATCGATCGAGTGTAGACAATTTCAGAATTATCTGTGGTCTGGAAACACATTAAAACTTGATCACAAAAATTGAAAGGAAATAAAGAAAATTGTCCAGTCCCGATCACATTTTTATGTAACTCCAGTAGTTCATTGCGCCAAAGAAACGGCTGCGTCTTTTTTGTTCGTTTCAAAATAAATTCTCTTATCTCGTCTATTTCTGACTCTTGCGGCCACCTAGGAGTCTGGAATTTTGTCAACTTGCAATGTCATCAGGCTTGAACAAGTGTACCAAATTTCAGACTTCTAGATGCTCTGTAATTATGTTAAAAGCTTTGTGGACAGACAGAACGACAGAGAGAGAGAAGCAAGTTAAATGAAGCTTTAAAAAAATTATATACTTGCTGAGTGGTTTGTTCGGATCTTGTTGCTTGGATCAAAATGTTGGTATTTAGTTGAGTTCAACATTCTGAATTCTGCCTCGGAAGTTTAATTAGACCCATATGAATATTTCTTCAATACTTTCGGCCAGGTACAATTGATTCTCCAATTTGCATATCATCTGAAATACATCAAGCTCCGACTATGCTTGAATTGCGCGGTTTTAGTACCGGATTCCTCTCATTATATATTCTCCCTGTGGCTTAGAAGACATCATCCATCCATCTCTCCGCCTCGTTATTTCTTGTACGTTATTTGAATTGATCTGTATATCGAAGAACCACGTCGAGAGAATTTGTGATTTGTTGAATGTGTCTTAGAGTGTTAGCGACTCTTTATTCTCATAATTGTCGACTATAGGGGGTCGGTGGAAGGATCGTCTAAGACCCGGGTTAGATTCCCACATTGGGAACTTTTTTCTGATAAAAAAAAAATGCTTCAATGACCCCCGATTCTTGCAAAAGTCCAACCCCACCAGCGAGTGCAAGTAACCAAACGGGGCTCTGGCACAATTGTAAGTGTAAAGTCGAACTGCTTTTCAAATGTGTAGACATGTGGTACACTTACAGTAAAAGCAGTCGTCTACTTCTACCCACCATGATTATCATGGTCTGTACCACGAGTACTAGGGATAAGCCAAAATAATAATAATAATAATAATAATTGCCGACTTTTGTGTATTCGTTAAATGATAATCACCTTTAAATATGACGAGAAGGGAAATTCCAAAAATGATTTAATACGTACATATATATTTCGTACAACAACAGGGTCCGCATATATCATTCCTACCAATGCTTTTCACCTTGTTTAAAAATGTTTGTTTCCATTATCGTATTACATGAACATCAATATGTTGTTCAAAAGGTTTAAATAAAAATTTGGGTTCAATAAGATTTTTAATATATTTTTTTCAATAGTGTCAAACTATTGCAATAGTTTGACAATCCCCATAAATTCTCTTCAGCATAATCTTTATTAATAGGGAATCTCACTCCTCGTTGGTATAAATCAGGCAACTACTGGTTGCCAATTACTGTTTTGGATAATTGATAATGAAGGAAAAACTAATCCTCTAGAAAAAAACATATTTTCCCAACATTCTTAAGTTGTCAAAGGAATGAACCCCCGGCAATGGACGGGCCCTCCCTCCCTGCCACCCGCGGGGCTGATGATTGGAAGCGGAAGCTCGGTGTTGAAATTGGCGGGAGCTGATCGGATGACCACTCGGCATGGCGCTTCATTAAGAGCTCATGCTGCTCTTTGCTGGTGCTCTACACGGCTTCTACCTGTCATGAGATAACAGAACAAAGAATCAATAACGAGGTACCAGTTATTTGATAGAATATAACTCGGGGAAATATAACGCTTCATTTATATATATAAGTATTACCCAACTCTTGAATATAATCATGGTATACAAAAAGTTGGATTTTGGCCTGAATTTGCCATACCTGGTGTTATGACTCACTCTTTATCAACACCATTACGTTTTGGGGTGATAAGCCAGATGTATCGTTTAAATGTATTTTATATATGTTTTTATATATGTATTTTATATGTTACTTTTTGTGTTTACATGAATATCATTCTTTCGCTCACGCAACCTTTAGTTATATACAATGTATATATTTATTGATATTAAGATCCATATTTGATTTATTTAGAAAAATGCTTATTTTGGATAATACAACTAAACGCAACCCAAGACAGGAAACCCAAACCAACCTCATATACTGCATCCCATGCAAATCATATACATCATCTTACATTGG